CAGATCTCTTCCCACTCTAATCTAATCTCTCTAATCTCTTAGCTGCCAAAGTGGTTTTCCCAAATTTGATCTCATTCCCAAATTTTCCCTACTCAAATTTTGGTGGCTCCCCATTACTTCTAGGTTAAGGTTTAAATATCTCTGGCATTTGAAGCTTGTCACAATTAGTACCTTCCTATTTTTCTTATAAATTATTTCCCTCCAGAGACTCTCCTTCCAACTACATTAGCCTACTTTCTGTACCTCACAGAGGACTTTTTAGTGGCTACGTCTCATTCCTGGATTGCTCTTCTTCTTTACCTGTGCATCCTAGAAACCATGGTTTCCCTTAAGGCAGCATAAACATCACCTTTTGTAGGAGGTCTTTTGTGCTTCCTTCCCCACTGAGGTTACCTTCCTTCTGTAAGAAACTAGGTACATATAATCTTCTCCCTTAGAATGAAAGTTCCTTGAGGGCAGGCATTGTTTTTTACTTTTTCCTTGTGTCCCTAACACTTAGCACAAGAACTGGCACATTTTAAGTGCATAATAAATATTTGTTGATTGAGCCAAATCTCTGTGGAACTAAGGTTAGATGGAGGAGCTCAGTTACAGAAGAAATGGATTCCGGGGGTCAGTTAATCCTAGTTACTGAGTTGACAATAAGCAACTGCCTCGTGGCTTTTTTTTAAAACCACCACCCCTTGTTAGACTCCCCAGAAGCAGAATTAGCCCTGTTGATGGTGGGGCTGAGCCTGCCTACAGGTGACTTAGCTGCTCTAGTACCAGTAGCCAGGCAGACCATTATATTATGAAGATCAAAACAGCAGGAAATAGTTGGTGCACAAGAATGAAATTGTTTTCTGCAGAACTAACTCCTGGTAGTATTTGATCTCCCTAGCCAAAAATCAGTTATGTTAGAATATTGACAGGTGTCTCAGTAGAAACACTCTCTTTCAATCACTGCATGAGAAGAAAGGATAAAGTTACAAAGAAAAGTGACTTTACTATTCTGATGCATGCACCAAAGGAAGCAAAATGAGACAGCATGAGAAGATGAATTATGGATTTCTGCTAATAAAATCAGCCAGAAAAATGAGGCACAAAATATGCCCAAAGGGAACAATTCAATATGGACATATCTCCAAGGAAATATAATTTTGCTGGGAGTGGACACTAATTCTGAATAGAGCAAAAATCAAGATTCAGTTCAGAAAAAAAAGTGATTCATACCAAGTCAAATATATAAAACTTACGAATGTTAATTATTTGAATTTTGAGAGCAGGTAGGATATTTTTTACTCTTTTTTGTTTCCCCTGTTACTAACACTACCTGAAACATAGTAGGTGCTATATAAATGCTTGTTTACTAACTGACTGAGCACATCAGAATGAGAGAATTACTTCCATCCCTTATCCTACTGCCAATGCTAATGTTCTTATCTTTGGAGTGATAGGGTTCCTTCATTCTTATTCCTTCCTACTTTTCCCTCCTAGATATATAAAATTTAGGGGCATATTTTGAGCCAGGAGACTTTTGCTAAGAGTATTTGTAGGGCTATGCTAAATGCTGGGGATACAGATACAACTAGGACAAGGGTAAGTCCTTGCCCTCAAGAAGCTTACCTTGTAATTGTGGTAGACAACCCATGAAGGGGAACTGAAAGGAGGGAGGGCTTGAGATAGTGAGAAATGAAGAGGCCCAGGTCTAGTCAGAGAGGATGAAAGCTCACTGTCAGAGTCCAAGGGGGTTCCAGGGGTGGAGATGACTATTCCTGTGTGGAGCAGGTAGGGATGATGGCTGGAATGGAGGCAGTCTAGTTTAGAATGGTTGGGAAGTGAGGAGAGGCAAGACACTGGAGTCTGTGTCCATTAGTCCTGTTCTCTAAAGTAGCTGTGCAGTTGGTGCAATACTAGGGTCTGGGGATGAAGCCCTGCATCTCGCCTAGCATCTAGATAGAGACACACACATTTGTGAGGTTGAAAGTACTGAGACCCAGAAAGAGCTATAGTGACATAGCATCAGTTTACTGTTTATTTCACACACTATGCCTCACTGGTTGTAACTTCTTCACTCCAACTTTCAAAGTCTTTATAATGAGAGAGAAATTTCACTTTGAGGATTAAAGAAAATTAGTTGCATTCTAAGTAAAATCAGGATGTTTTAATTTCATTTCTAAATTCAAAAGATCCCTGATCATATCTTGTAAACATAAGAGTTGAGATATGGATAGACCGTTGGACAAATCACTTAACTGTCCTGAACTTCAATTTCCTTATCTGTAAAATGCAAGGGTAGACTAGATGGAATCTAGATCTCTGAATCTATAAAAAGGAAAGCTACAAGTTTAAAGTGAAATTAGGTCTAAAAATGAACCATTATATCTCCTTCTAAAGTAATAGAATAACTATAAAATTTTTTAAATAAAATGTTAAAATATTCAGAAATCACCTTTAGAACTGCCATTGAAACTTTTCTTAAGTGTAAAAATTCAGTTAAGATTTTCCTCCTTACTGCAAGAGTTAATTTAAAATTTTTATTTTAAAAATGGATGCCTTTGGTTTTTACATCACATTGATTTTCAAAGATATCTTTCCCCTACTCAGCAGCCACCCCTTTAACAAAGACTTAAAAAAGAGAGAAGTAGCACAGCAAAACCAACCAACATTGGAGACAGTTGTTTATTATTATTATTAATTGCTCAAATTATTTAGTAAAAATAGAGAATTATTATTGATAATATTAGTATTTACATAGAACTTTAAGTTTTTCAAAGCATTTTACAAATAATATCTCATTTTACCTTCACAACAACTTGGGAAGTAAGTGATATTATTATCACCATTTTGCAAGTGAGGAAACTGAGACAGAGGTTAAGTGACTTGTCCAGAGTCACACATAGCTAGTAAATGTCTGAAATGAGGTTTGAACTCAGGTCTTCCCAACTTCAGGCTCTGTGCCCTATCTACTGTGCCACCTAGCTTCTTAAATAGTTGAAAAACAATTTTTCATTAAGCTCCATTGTTTCCTGCTTTTGCATTGTCAGGAAATTCTTGTGTATCTTTTTAAGTTATTTTGTTATGCTTAAATTTATTTATGTTAAAAAGAAAAAAGAGTAGCCTTACTGTATTATTTACTACTGTATTTTAGGGGAGAAAAAGGTAAATATACTGTCCTCCTTTCTCTACTAAAGCTTTCTTTTGATATTTCATCATGACCATGCCAGCAGAACACACTTAGCACCCAGCTGGCGATGAATTGCATACCTGTTATCTCAGACCAGACTAATAACATTCACAGAGGTGAATCAATGGGTGGCTTCAAGGTGATTATTTTATATTTTTTTTATTTGTTTGTTTTGTGTGTGTGTGTGTGTGTGTGTTTGTGTGTGTGTGTGTGTGTGTGTGTGTGTGTTTTGGCCATGACAGCTCTCAAAGACTATGTCCCAAGTTGTAGAGGGGTTGTAATTCAATTCAGTGAATCGCCCCCCAAAAAAATCAGAATCTAGAATATTGAAGTAAAAATAAGAACTTTGACTTGATTAAGGGTTAAAATGACTTTTGTGGAACTACTTGAGATCTGAGTTCAAATCATAGCTCTGTGGCTAATCAGCTATGGAACCCAGGGTAAGATATTTGAGCAGTGATAGGACTATGATTGTTTTGGATAGTAGATATTTCAAGTGTTTGTCCTTTTTTTTTGTCTTTTGACTTTGTTCTGATACTTTTGTTGTATGATTAGAGTTTTCAATTGTTTCCTCTATATATTTTTCAGGCTTCATAGTACTTTGGTAAGGTTTTCCAGCTTCTCTTCTAGGTTGTTTATTCTCCTTCCATGTTTTTCCTGAAGAATTCTGATTAGACTCCTCAACTCTCCTTTCCACTCTTTCTTCATCTATTTTGATAGGCCTTCCATCCACTTATGGAGTCCTTATGTTCAAGCCATTATGTGGCCAAATTAGTTTATTTTCAGACTGCAAGGGATTCTACTTATAATTGTTGCCAAATAATTTTCTTATTTAGAAGTTTTAGCCTGGGGTTATCTTAATTCATAGTACTTCTTTGTCATATTAAAGTTTTTCTTATATTTGCTCATTTAACCTTATGAACAAATGCAAGAAAGTCTCTAATATAATTAAGTATTGGATAAGATGGTAAGAAACAACCTAGTTTTCTCCTAAGGTTGTATGCCAGTCCCTTAACATATACCCAGGGTAGGAATGGAAGGTGATTAGCAGTCACTAAGATCCATCAGTCCTCATGCTTGAAAGCCCATCTGATATTGGCTTCCTGGTCTTTCCCTGGTGGTATAGTCCAGATAAGGTGGATGATGATCTGAGTGATTGTTGCTGAGAAAAGTTGCCTTGGATAGGATGGATGCTTAGTCAGATGACTGTGGTTACCAAGGAATGCAACTCTTAATCCTCTGCTCTCAGTGCTGGCTCAAAACAAGGTTAGCAGTAATCCCAATGGTAATTTGGTCTTTAATTGTTTTGTTCCCCTTACAGAAGCTACTTTACTACAGATTTATTTTCATTCTCAACTTAAATCCCATCTTCTACATACAGTCTTTCCTAATCCTTCTTAATTCTACTGCCTTCCCTCTGTTAAATTTTTCCTATAAATTCTGTATATAGCTTGTTTGTACATGTTTGTTTGCTTGTCACCTCCTCCATTAGATAGTAGGCTCCTTGAAGGCAAGGTCTGTCTTTTGTCTTTTTTTTTTTTGTATCTCCAGTGCTTAACACGGTGCCAATCACACAGTAGGTACTTAATAAATGCTTATTGACTGATTGATTTGCTTGATAATCCTTTATTTGTCTTAGTTAGTTTTTTATTGTTCTTGAGATTATGTTTCTGCAAACTATATTTGACCCAAAGTTTTCACATTGCTCTCTTTATTAGACTATACCTCTTACTCTCCAGTCTTTATTTCTTTCTTTCTTTCAGCTAGGCAATGGGGTTAAGCAACTTGCCCAGGGTCACACAGCTACTTAAGTGTTTATGTGTCTGAGGCCGGATTTGGACTGAGGTCCTCCTGAATCCAGGGCCAGTGCTCTATCCATTGTACTACCTAGCTTCCCCTCTCTAGTCTTTTAAAGATACTGATAATCACTCAGTTATCACATCTGCTAGCTTTGCAGTAGCCTAGAATGCAGTCCATCTGGACTAGAAGACTTGAACACATCAAAGGCACTTAGATGCTCTCTTACTTCTTCTGTGCATCAACACCTATCAACTATTTCTTTGTCCTTTCTAGTTTATAGATCATTGTCCTTGTCAGAGATAAGAGGAAGAAATTAAGATTGCCTTCATTGCTTTGCTGGTTGCCATTTTTTTTTCATCCTCCCTGAAGAGCAGGTTTCCATGATTCTCCTTTTCCAATTGATAGCTAAAAACAAAATAAAACAAATTTTAAAAATCGTATTTTTTTTGTTGTTGTTATTTATAGCTTTCCTTTCTAGCTTCAGATGGTTCTGAGTTTTAGCACTGTTGACACTAATTTTAACAGGTCTGTGCTACACTTTTTTTTCCTTCATATTCCGTTACCTAACCTTCATTCCATCTTCTTTACATGTATTTTTAAAATTTAAATTGTTTTGGTGAGGTCCCTTTGCAATCACATTATTTTCTTTGAAATTCTTCATTGAAATTGTTTATTATGTGAAACATTATAAATATTCTTTCTCAAAGTTTCCCATATTTCCTGAACTAACATTTCTTTTGGGATTTTATACCATGGGATCTTATCTACCTTTTCTATGAACCCTTTGAAATCTACTCTACCTGTATCTAAGGTTCATGCTCCATTCCCCTCTCCTCTGTCACAAATCCTAAGATGGAATGGTCATTTCTACTCCAGCACCCACTTCTTCCTTATTGGTGAGAAACATATTCAAAGAAGAATTTTCCTTCTTTATTCCTCCACCATTTGAAATTATCATTAAAGCAAGTCTGTTCTAGCAGATGTTGGAATTATTGAAACCTGGAAAAAGGAGCTGCTTGCAGGTAAAACCATACTAGGGGTATAGAGACACCATCCTGAGGGAGTGAGGGAGGGAGGTTTTTCATCATTATAATACTGATCATGACACCCTAAATCACTTTGAGACTGATTGGGAGCTCAACAACTTCAAGACCCAGATGCTACTATTTCTGTAAATTTGACTTCATTAACATCTTCTTTCCCAAACACCACAACTTGTAGACAGATGTGCTATTGAGAAAATTCATATGTGTACAACTGCTGGATCAATCATCCTGAAAGGTTCTTCTACATACAATAAACTTTACAACTACAGCATTTAAATTAGATCTCTTCCAGTTAATCAAGAGCAGGACTGAGGTGCCCAACCTTAGGATGGACTGACCTAGCTTTAGGATAGATTATTTACTAGCAGGTGGAGGAAGAGCCTTTCCAGTCTTCTGCCTTGCTATACAGAGGTTTCTCCCCTACCTTTTTTCCAGCTACAAATCACTGTCAGAGCCTTTGGACAGCCCCATCCTGAAACCAACTCAATCACTGGAGATCCCATTCCATTCCATCTTCTCCAATATATTGCTTTCTCTACCAATTCCATTCTCTCACTAATCTTCAATGTGTCCCTGTCTAATTATTGTTTCCCTACTGCTTACAAACACACTCATATCTCCCCTATTTTCCAAAAAGCCTCACTTGGTCTATCTATGCTCTTTAGCTATTATCCTTTATCTTTCCTCCATTTCACATTTAAGCTCCTTGATAAGGCTGTCTGCAATTGGTGTCTTTTGTTCATCTCGTCTCTTCTTAACTCTCTTAAATCTGGCTGCCGACCTTAGCATTCAACTGAAACTGATCTTGCTCATGTTACCAATGATCTTTTAATTGCTAAATCTAAAAGCCTTTTCTCAATCTTTATTTTTCTTGACCTCTCAGCTGTCTTTGACACGGTAGATTGCTGTCATTTTGAAACTCTCTTCTCTCTAGATTTCCATATCACTGTTTTCTTCTGGTTCTTCTCCTACCTATCCGACTATTCTATATCAGCCTTATTTGCTGAATCTTCTTTCAGATCGTTCCTAGTATCCATGACTCTATCCTAAGTCCCCTTCTCATCTTTATGCTATTTAATTTAGTGATTCATCAGATCCCATGGATTCAATTATCATCTCTGTACTGATGATTTTTGGAGCTATTTATCCAGCTGTAACCTCTCTCTTGACCTCCACTCTCACATCTGCAACTGCCTATTGGACATCTCGAGCTGATAGCATATCTTAAACCCAACATGTCTAAAACTGAACTCATTATCTTTTCCCCAAAACTTTTCTTCTTCTTAAACTTCCCCATTACTGCTGACAGTACCACCATCTTCCCAGTCACCTAGGATCACCTAGTTGTTATACTTGACTCCTCATTCTTTCTGGGACAGAGTAACTTAGTTACCAAGTCTGTTGAGTCTATCTTCACAACATCTCTAAGATGTGCTGCCTTCTCTCCTCTGGCACTGCCGCCATCTTGTTCTAGGCCCTTCTCAGGCCTATACTATTGCAATAGTCTCCTGGTTGGTCTCACAGTATCATGCTCTTTCCACTTCAGTCCATCCTCCATTAAGCTATCAATGTGATCTTCCTAACAGGAAGGTCTGACCATATTACTCTCTCCATCACCCCAAAAAATGCCAGTGGCTTCACATTACCTCTAGGATCAAAAATAAAATCTTCTGGCTTTTAAAGCCCTTTATAACCTGGGCTTCCCACCTTTCCAGTCTTCTTATATCTTACTCCCTTTGTGGTACTTTATAATCAATTCAAACTGGCCTCCTTCCTGTTTCTTACACATAACACCCCATCTTCCAAATACAGAAATTTTCATTGATTGTCCCTCATGCATGGAATGATCTTCCTCCTCATCTCCACCTCCTGGCTTTCCTGGCTTCCCTCAAGTCTCAGCTAAAATCTCTCTCTCTCTCTCTCTCTCTCTTTCTTTTTTAGGCAATTGGGGTTGAGTAACTGAGTAACTTGCCCAGGGTCACACAGCTAGTAAGTGTCAAGTGTTTGGTCTGAGGCCACATTTGAATTCAGGTCCTCCTGACTTCAGGGCTGGTGCTCTATGCACTGCATCACCTAGCTGCCCCTAAAACCTCACTTTCTACAAAGAGTTTTCCTGGTCCCCCTTAATCATAGTTCCTTCTCTTTGGGACTATCCCCAATTTATCCCGTATGGTTTTTTTGTATGTATTTGTTTGCATGTTATCTCCCCCCATTAGATTGTGAACATCTTGAGAATAGGGGCTGCTCCTTTTTGTATCCTCAGCACTTAGCACAGTGGTTGGCATATAGTAGATATAAATGTTCGTTGCCTTGACTGTCTCAATTTGCTCTCTTTGCACGAATCTGTCAGACACAAGAATGAGGTGCTTAGTTTTAGGTCTAGTATCTACTTTCCAGGAGGTCATGAACCCTATGTAACAGATGTTTGTGGTGGATTCCTCACCTGCAGGTGGAGGAAGTGGTTATACCCTTGCTGAGAATTCGGGGGTTTGTAATGTTTATATACTTTCTTAGCCTAGGAAAAGATGAAAGGAATGACATGTGATTCTGATTTGGACTACAACTCTAGGGAACTATGAATGAATTAAGAAAGAGAATGTAGCAGGAGAGAACAAGACAGAGCTTGGAACCAGGGGAAGGCAATGGAATAAACATTTATATAACACCTAAAATATGCCAGACATTATGCGAAGCCCTTCACAAATATCTCATTTGATCCTCACAACAACCCTGTGAGGTAGGTGCCCTTATCATCTCCATTTAACAGTTAAGAAAACTGAGGCAAACAGAAGTTAAGTGACTTGCCCAGGGTCACTCTGCTAGCAAATGTCTGGGGCTAGATTTAAACCTATGTTTTTCTGACTCCAGGCCACGTGCTCTCTCCACTGTGCCACCATGTACTACAACTATTGTGACTGTGAACCAAAGGTAAAAATGGTGGTCTCTCGTAGACTTTTACTTTGTAAGAAGAAATGCTGACAAGTGACTTTTTCTCCTTGAGAACTATGAGGAAACTCTGCCAAGGTATATCTCTACAACTTCTCAATCCCCACACATCTATTTGTTTAACAGGTATCTCATATGATTTGTTGTCTAGTTATGTTCTAATTTTTGTTTTTATTTGGATTCTTTTATGCTTTACCTAAAACACCTGTGATTTTACAGACAGCTTCATTTTCTTGGGTATACTTTGGCATTGTCAGAGAATGCCAAACAGGGAAAAGCCTGGTGGTTTTGATTCAAATTATATAACTCAATCTGAAATTTCTTTCCCCATTAATGGAAGAGATCAGAGTCTTTGGCAAATTGTTAGAAAATTTCTTTCTTTCTTTCTTCCTTTTTTTTTTTTTAAGGCAATTGGGGTTAAGTGACTTGCCCAGGGTCACACAGCTAGTAAGTGTCAAGTGTTTGGTTTGATGCCGGATTTGAACTCAGGTCCTCCTGACTTCAGGTCTGGTGCTCTATCCACCGCCGCCTAGCTGTCTCTGTTAGAGAATTTCTAACTGGGGTTTAATGAGTTATTACTATTTGTTGTTCAGTCATTCCAGTCGTGCTCAACTCTTTGTGATCCTGTTTTAGGGTTTTCTTGGCAAAGCTACAGGATTGGTTTGCCATTTCCTTCTCCAGCTCATTTTTACAGATGAGGAAACTAAGGCAAATAGGGTTGAGTGACTTGCCCAGGGTCACACAGCTAAGAAGTGTCTGAGACCAGATTTGAATGCTTGAAGCTGAGTCTTCCTGATTCCAAGTCCAGTGCTCTATCTACTACGCTACTAGCTGCCCTCTAGATAGCTGCCCTGCTCTTACTATAGTCATTGATAATGCTATAAACTCAGCAAAAGAGTAGAGAAAAGATCATTAATATAGGCTGCTGCCACTGGATATAAATGAAGCTAAAGGTCAAGGCCATTAAGCTTTAGTCTGCTCTTTGATACAAGAAAAAGAGTAGGTTAGGTATTTGGAGGTGGGACTGGTAGCCAAAGAAGAGGGTCTATTCAAAGCCAACCCTGCAAGGATAGAGATAGACACAGTCCAGGAGGATTTTGTTCCGTCCATTTCCCAGGGGGAGAAGGAATTGCTCCCTAGACACCTGCTTATTGCATGCACTTGTGTCCAAATCTTGGTTTTGCTCTTGTCGTTCTCTTGTCCCAGATAATGTTTAGCGCAGTGCCTCTTCCATAGGTGGCTATTAAATGCTTATTCCTTTGCCCCCTCTTTCCTATTCATTTCTAGTCCATATTATCCTGTATGATACATATAGTAAGAATTGATCCTTCTTGTATGTTGTGAATAGAAGTTCGGCTTCTGGAGATCATGTTCTTTGTCTCAGAAACTAGGTACCCCAATAAAGAAATAGAT